AATTGAACTAAAGTGATGTTTATGTTGATGTAATTACACATGTATATGAAGGAGAGGGGAAAATATTAATTTAATTTTTTAAATATATGTGTTTGGGTATATCAGTCAGTCAGTTATGTGCCATGCGCGATACACGATCGTGTATATCTTTCGATACATGACTGACGAGGCAGATTTTTTTTCCCGCAGTAGGTTGCCATTTCTTTCTGCGGTAGACCAGTTGTCATCCAAGGCTATAGAATCCGGTCTTGCCCTGCTATTTGCAAGATCGCTCTGACCATTGTCAATATTTTTTTGTTTTGTTTCATCGGCGTTTTTCTTATGATAGCGGTTACCGTAATTTTCCTACGCCCACAAATATTTTTCCACGGGTGTTTGATTTTCGAAAATTAATCATGGGTTCCAAATAAAAATATAATCTACAATATCCAGAATCTATTAAATGTTTTTGGTACGCACTGCTGGAGTGAACTGAAACTGCTAACTTAATTTTCTCTTGTTTTTAAAAAAAATAAATTTTTCTATCTTTTTTATTTATTTATGGTAATTACCTTTTTGCTTGTTTAGAGTAATTAAAGGAATTGGTCTGAAGGTTTCTATATTAAACAACTCTTTAAAAAAAATGGTAACTTTGAAAAATTATCAAATATATGCAAATATACAGGGACGTAGTTGTCCGGGACGCAAATGTCCAATATTCAACTTCAAGGACGCAGGGTGATTTTTTAAAAACATTTTTATGCGTGTTTTATGTTATTAAATAGGGTAATTTTTTTTATTTTTTCATGAAAATTTGCTGCTTGTTTTTCTTTGTCTGTGAACGTGGGTAACAGAAACCGAATAGCCAATTACGTGCTATGTTTTGAAGGTATAGTTAAACTCTAATTGACCCCTGAGCAATATTTAGATAAGCAAGCGTTTCACAGAGTGAGTGTAAACACCGCGAATACTGTCGATCGAAAAGAAAAGACAGCAAGAAGAGGTTTGAGTGAAAAGCACTCAAGTCTTGTGTGAGAAATGGTAAAAAAATGATTCTAGATCAAAACGAAACTAATAGAAACAGTTTCATTTTGAGCCACAAGACTTAATGTGCCTGGCCGGTTTGCACGCTTAGAGTAAAAGGAACGAATTTTACGACTGTTTAAAAACAGTGTAACCCGGATATAAGAGAGTTGTCCGGACCGGAGAAGAAGTCTCTTATATCCGGGTTTCTCTTATATCCGGGTTTAGTCTATTTTATATAAATTAACACAGGCTCTAATTTGGGACCAGAGAAAATCTCTCTTATATCCGGGTTTCTTTTATATCAGGGTCTCTTATATCCGGGTTACACTGTAGTCGCCTCCATGTACCGTTCCAGCAAGTATCTGACTTTGCACGCTTTCCTCTACGTTTACAAGAGCCAGATCAGGCCTAAAATGTTGTCATATTACGGCGGGAGCTGTCCAGATTCCACTTTCCAAAATCGATAGAGTTCAAAAGCGTCTCCAAGCCTTTATTTTCCACACTCCAACCTTTCTCTCACAGGTGGGACGTGGCAAGCCTCTCGCTACTTCCGCGGAAAGTGCTCGGACGAACTTCATTCGTTGGTTCGACCAGGTTTAAACTTCACGGCAAGCACCCGCCATGCCACTTACATTGTAGCAAACCCCCTTAAAATCCCCCCCCGAATTCCATCAGGGAGAAGTTCTACAAGAAAAGGTTTTTCCTTCGAACCTCTTCTCTGTGGAGCCGACTCCCAAGAGGATTTTTCAACGATCACTACAATTTTAACGTGTTCCAGTCTAGAGTTAACCGTTTCCCACTTTATCTGCACAAAATGCCTCCTAACGTAACTCTACTTCCAGCAGCACCCGGGCCTTGTGTCGGGTAAAGCTTACTGTAAAAAAAATAAAATAAAATAAATAAATAAAAAATAAATAAATAAATAAAAAAAAAAGAAAGAAAAAAGATCTTCATGAGTCTTGTAACCAATTAAGATTGTCAAGAGACCACATCCAAAGGGACAAGAGCATCAGTGGTTTGTCTTGGGAAGATAAGCCGTGGGACCCCATTTCTCCTCAGGCTGGGCTTACGGTCATATCATGTTGAAACACCTGTTGCCGTACGATCTCTGAAGTTAAGCAACGTCGAACCTAGTCAGTACCTAGCTGGGTGACCACTTGGGAATACCAGATGCTGTAAGCCTGGATGTGCGGCTGGTGTAATGGATAATAACTAGGGATTGTTACTAGAAGATCCGAGTTCCAATTCCAGTTGCGTTCGACACTTAACGATCAATAGCCTTGGGAAAAGTTATGAATCCACCTCTTCTTCCCCCTCAGATATGGGTTAATTAGCAAGTTACGTATCACTAAATCATTATTATCTAATATATATATATATATATATATATATATATATATATATATATATATATATATTCCTACATCCTAGAAATATTTGATGATTTTAAATAACCTGGAAAGGGTAGATAGCCCGTGGAAAACGATTTAGTCAATCCTCAGGCTGGTTTTGAATTAAAATTTGTTCGTTCTCCTAGGACGCCTCAGATTTCATTGTGCTCTGCCATCTACCCCTTGCTTTTTCTAAGCCCCTTAATACAAAGAAAGCGGAACAGAATCGAGCAGGGAATGACCTTGGCTCACAGATTTCACTATCAGCGCCTTTCCTCTATCTATCTATCTATCTATCTATCTATCTATCTATCTATCTATATATATATATATATATATATATATATCGTCGACTCTCCCGTCGAATTCGACGTATGAGGGTCAAGCAGATCAGTTCCCAGGAAACCGACAGCCCGACAATAGCACATGAGATTTGATTATAGTGGTGAAGGTTTCGTGCAGGACCATCCACACCTTTTGAAGGGCCGAATACAGAGACCTGGTGCACTTCGTGCCACAAGGTCCCCAAACGACCCTCCGCAGGTTTTGTATTCAGAGTTGTCCTTCTCCTGGACCAGTTGCCATCCAAGGCTATAGAACCCAGTCTGTCCTGCTATTTACCCATAGCTGGAGGGAGGAGAAGAGGATTCATACATTTCCCAAGGGTATTAGCACGTAAGTGAATGTAATGGATTCGACTGGAATTCGAACTCGGCTTTCCGATTATTTTGATTATATATATATATATATATATATATATATATATATATATATATATATATATATATATTCAATAAAGGTGCAATTAATTTACAAATTCATGAATTATTCATACAAAAACAAATACAAAGGTTAATGATTTAATTGGCGAGAAATCCATCATCGCGAACAATTCAAATAATATACAAAAACCCCGAACCTGTTTATGAATGAAAAGATCCTTGTTTTTATAAATTTCTGTTGTATAAGTTTTCATTATTTTTACAAGCTTTCAAAGTGGCATGAACTATATTGTTCAATAATTACAGTAATGTCGCACTTATCCGAAAGTTGCACTTGGATCAGTTATTTTAATTTCAATAAAGGATTACAATTAATTTGAAGGAAAATTTACCAGTAAAAAAATTCTCTTATCACTATATTTGTACAAGAACGCACAAACAGGTTCCTTAAAAATTGTTCAAATTCAAACTCAGCGTTGCGACTGCGCTCAAAACAATAATTTGTTTTGTATGAATCATACATTTCTAAAAAGGTAGCATTTTCGGATTACAAAACATTTTTATTTTCGTTTTTTTGTCTTCTTTATTACTGAGGTAGTAAAAAACAAGAACAAAATCTATTCCATACCCGAGGATGTCTGTAGGAACTACCTATGGTAATCTATAATGACATAATCCTTTACAAGGTCACGTGATTTAAGTGTCGTCTGACGCATAGCATGATGAAAAGGGCCAAGCTCAATGCAGTTATTTCACTTTTTTTCCGATTCAGTTCTGTTTTACATTATTAACATCATGCAAATCATCCCTTCAAAATATTAAAAAAAAATGTTTTCTAAATATTTTTTATCTTATTTATTTTAGTTTGGGTCATGCTAATTAATTCTTTGGCAGTAAACTTAAGAACCTAGAGACGAAATGCAAATTTCATAAAACTTCCTAAAAACTGAACTAAAAGTCAATAAAATATTAAATAACTGTTGAACATTTTTAATTACAGAGAATTATAGTGCCATGAAAGACGAGAAAAACGGGCGCTAATAAGATATTTAAAAAAAAAATACAGATAATTTAAATAACTGTTTGAAAATAGAGTAAAATTATTTTGCTTATTGTAAATATAAAATTTAATCTATTAACTTGAAATTAAAACGAAAATAAAAGCTTCAAGAAGGATATAAAATATTATTTTTGAAAAATTTATTTTAAAAAACGGAATAGATATTTATCTTTTTCTGTTTCTTATATATATATATATATATATATATATATATATATATATATATATATATATATATATATATATATATATCTCTCTCTCTCTCTCTCTCTCTCTCTCTCTCTCTCTCTCTGGTGTAACAAGAAAATATATACATTCTTTTATAGATACAAATATTTAAGTAAATGCTCTGTTTATAATAAACATTTACCGGCCTGAATGTCCGAGAAATTTTCATATAAAATATGCGTCCTCCGACATGAATCGAACCTGTATCCTATACGAAATCGTCATATAGCCTGACATGCTTTTACCGATTGAACCACAGAAGAGCGTTTCGGTTAGTAAGGTCAATTTTACTGTTTTTAAAGCACAATTTTCCATGATTTTCTCTCATACATTCATATGTGCTCGTTGCGTATCCAAATGTAAACAATGACGTCACACATTATGAAAGTCCGACAATTTATTTAAGACATTTTTTATGCTTATACTTTCTTTTTATATATACAAATATTTAAGTAAATGCTCTGTTTATTATAAACAGACTATTTACTTAAATATTTGTATCTATAAAAAGAACGTATAAACATAAATAAATGTCTTAAAAATAATTGTCGGGTTTTGTCCATTTCACACACACACACACACACACACACACACATATATATATATATATATATATATATATATATATATATGCACTCATGTTCAAAAGACGTGTAAGGATTGTGAACCGGACAATAGACGAACCAATCTCTTCCTATCGAATATCCAGTAAAGTGTATACAGTATTTTCATATTTATTCATCATGTTCTTTGCGATAGAACTTAGTTTTATCATTCAAAGTCAGATTAAAGAACTGTAATGCACATTCCTTTGGACATTCGAACTGGTTGATGTGACACTGGGAGCTGCAAGGACTAAATGGAATTGCATGCATTACGAATCACGTTATTTCGTATTCAGGCGGATTCATTGTTTCCATTTTTACGTGAAAAAAATGTAATCTTTGAATTGTTATCAAGAGGTTTGATGAATTTGTCTGACCGGTCACTGTATATTATTCCTTCGCTTTTAAAAAAAAAAATCATTTCACCCCAAGCAAGGCAATAAAGACACTAAGACACACGGTGTGACTGACTGTGAGAAAATATGAGAAAAAAAAACACGATTAAAGAGAGAGAACAATCAATGAACAGGAATTAAGTAAACAGAAGATAGCGATTGATATTTCATTTTAATTTTGAAGGTCCAAATTGACTGGAAAGCAAGAAGCCGGAATAGAGTTCCACAAGCAAGAAGTGCAAGAAACTCTTAGCAGAGAAGTAAGGTTGCATCTAGCCATTTCAATTGTGAAATGATGAAACCTAACAGACAATCTAGTACTGCGCTTAAATTTCATAAAGTCTAGAGCATAGAGGAAAGTAATACTTATTATCTTAATACAAAAATGAGGCACAAGGCCAAAAGGGGTATAAGGGAAGTCTGTTCGTCAATCTGTTTTATCTTAAACTTAGCCACGATTACTGACCCAAACATACCACAGTATTCATTACACGAAAACAACACATACTTATTTACAATTCTTACTACAGTCACCATAATACCTCAGGTCTCTATGTAGTCCTAACTAGTTCCCATATGTACAATTTGTCTGTCGGAGCGGAGGAATAAAATAACAACATATTATCATGATGATATTTATTGCAGATTCTTCTTTAGACTTTTTCAGTCTATTAATTTATTTAGTCAGCAAGTTTTCACCAATATCGACTGTGATCATTTTTATCAATGATGGAGACATATATGGAAATAAAACTTTTACGGTGATCCCTTTTCTGATATTTTCTTGGAGATTGATGATAAATTTTCGGGAGACTTTAGGGTCGGAATCGTCTTCAGTCATCCAAAACGATGCCTGTGAAAGCCTTGATCTGTTCCCTCGGTTTCAAACTTATTTTAAATATAAATAATGGAGAAACGCCCTTTTGTTTGAAACGCCCTTTTAAACTCTCGTTGCCCTTGATTTTTGGCTATATTCTCACGAGTCTGCTATAACTTTAATAAAAATTTAATTGTTCTAATTTTTCAGACGTCCTGTATGTGCACACTCACATACACACACGTATATATATATATATATATATATATATATATATATATATATATATATATATATATATATATATTTTTGAATAAAAGACAGACCACGTTAAGATTCCATGTAATAAGTTATTTCACCATAACCCCTTTAACAGGGTTCTGGATCATCAGACTTTACTTCCAAAAGCTGAAATGAAAAATGAAAAGAAATTCACACGTTTTTTACGGACCTCATCAAGTATACGTAAAATTAACGAAGTGAGGAAGTGAGGTGGGAGAGAGGATATGAGTGTGTCATATGTATCATTTTAGTTTCCTATTTTAACCCCAGTGTGCCGGCTAGATGTTGCTCAAATTTAACGCGTCTCGTCTCTAGATAAAGGTGGTTAAGGGGTGAATGATAAGAACGACATTAAAGGAAGAAGTTACAACAACCCCAATAAATTACACGACAGGTTTCATTCAAATTCTTAGACGCTGTTAATTCGCGTTACTTTAACGTGCATATTTGGGAGGTTAAGGTTTGATAAATATCTAAATGTTAAAACAATCTACGAAGAAATTAATTTGAAATTCGGTGGAGTTTTGGGTATTTTCTATGAAACAATCGATTGGAAAAATCCATAGACAGAACATTGAAAGGGCAATCCATTTTATATTTAGTAATTTTTTTTTCACTAAAACTTTCTTGCAGCTTGTTAGGTTGAAGGAATATATATATATATATATATATATATATATATATATATATATATATATATATATATATATATATATATATATGTGTGTGTGCGTGCGTATCTGTTTATATGTGTGTGCCTGTGCATGAGTGCGTACACGAGGAGCGTTCATTAAAGGTTTATCTCAAAACCCTTTCTGGCCGAGTCCCATAAAATTTACATTGATTAAAACTTTTCCAGAAAGCTTCTATGCAGAGTTAGGTTTACGGCCGTATCACGTCGAAACACCGGATCTCGTACGATCACCGAAATTAAAGCAACGCCGAGTTTGGTCAGTACATAAATGGGTGACCGCTTGGGAATGCCAGGTGTTATAAGCTTTATTGGATGTGCGGATGGTATGGCGGATAACGGCACGGAATTGAAAATCGGAGAGCCGAGTTCCAGTTCTAGTGGCGTTCATTATATTCACTTACGCGCAAGTACCCTTGGGAAAGGTATGACTCCGCCTTTTACCCCCACGTATCGATTAATTATTAGGACTTATGGCATTAAATCTTTATTATTTCCAAAATATTCTTCCAATTTAAAAATACATTTTCCGGCTTTAAATAAGCTGTAAAAGGTTGATAAGCCGTAAAAAACAAAACAAGCCATACTTCTCCAAACAATTAGACCTTTCATGTTAGGACGGCAGTTAAGGCTGCTGTACCTCATAATTCAGCTTATTGTTATCCTGGAAGTGACCTTTTTATTTTATTTTTTTTTACGTTGTGGTTCATCCTGTATAAGGCTTTGGAGCCACTCGAGGTAGAGGGTTACAGTCAGAGGGAGGGTAGGAGGGGAAGATAACAGTTTACACTAGACTTGAACAGGTTAAGATTGTAGAGATCGGAGAAACACCCTTGTGAGAGTCGGTTAGCGGGAAGACGTTATCCCAAGAAGTTTATGGCGGACGCAGAAAGGAAACTCTTAAAGGAAAATCTTACAGAGGGTAGTGAAGGAAAGCAAGAAGAAAGGACTATTGATCAACTGTAAGAAGACAGAATCTATGGTTGTCAGCAAAAAGAAGAGCCCAAGATACGAACGACGAACTGGAGACAGAAAAATCAAACAAGTAAAAAATTAGTGGAAATTCGTACTTATCAATGGAATGCTGAGGAAATATGGGTGGCTTGCTATTACAATGTGAGCGGATCCTGGCCGTGAAGGTGCTAACTGGTGGAACCAAGGAATGGAGTTCGTCCGGGCACTTTCCGATAGAGCAGCGAGACGCTTACTACATCCCGCCTGTGAGAGAGAGAGTTTGGAGAGTGGAAAACGTCACCTACAAGGGCTCGGAAGCACTTTTGAACTCTGCCGAGGCTCGAGAGCGGCGTCCGCGCAGATCCCGTCCAAATATAACAAAAAGACTCCATTCTTGGCCTGCTCTGACTCTTATAATTCTAATCATATCTATCTATCTATCTATCTATCTATCTATCTATCTATCTATCTATCTAATTCTAATCACATCTATCTACCAATCTAATTCTAATCATATCTATCTTTTAATTCTATCTATCTATCTATCTATCTATCTATCTATCTATCTATCTATCTATCTATCTAATTCTAATTACATCTATCTACCAATCTAATTCTAATCATATCTATCTATCTATCTATCTATCTATCTATCTATCTATCTATCTAATTCTAATCACATCTATCTACCAATCTGATTCTAATCATATCTATCTTTTAATTCTATCTATCTATCTATCTAATTCGAATTACATCTATCTACCAATATAATTCTAATCATATCTATCTATCTATCTATCTATCTATCTATCTATCTATCTAATTATATCTATCTACCAATCTAATTCTAATCACATCTATCTAATTCTAATCATGTCTATCTATCTTTTAATTCTAATCTATCTGTCTTTTAATTCTAATCATATCTATCTATCTATCTATCTATCTATCTATCTATCTATCTATCTATCTAATTCTAATCACATCTATCTACCAATCTGATTCTAATCATATCTATCTTTTAATTCTATCTATCTATCTATCTAATTCGAATTACATCTATCTACCAATATAATTCTAATCATATCTATCTATCTATCTATCTATCTATCTATCTATCTATCTATCTATCTAATTATATCTATCTACCAATCTAATTCTAATCACATCTATCTAATTCTAATCATGTCTATCTATCTTTTAATTTTATCTGTCTTTTAATTCTAATCATATCTATCTATCTATCTATCTATCTATCTATCTATCTATCTATCTAATTCTAATCACATCTATCTACCAATCTAATTCTAATCATATCTATCTTTTAATTCTATCTATCTATCTATCTATCTATCTATCTATCTATCTATCTATCTAATTCTAATTACATCTATCTACCAATCTAATTCTAATCATATCTATCTATCTATCTATCTATCTATCTATCTATCTATCTATCTATCTATCTATCTATCTAATTCTAATCACATCTATCTACCAATCTGATTCTAATCATATCTATCTTTTAATTCTATCTATCTATCTATCTAATTTTAATTACATCTATCTGCAATATAATTCTAATCTATCTATCTATCTATTCATCTATCTATCTATCTATCTATCTATCTATCTATCTAATTATATCTATCTACCAATCTAATTCTAATCACATCTATCTAATTCTAATCATGTCTATCTATCTTTTAATTTTAATCTATCTGTCTTTTAATTCTAATCATATCTATCTATCTATCTATCTATCTATCTATCTATCTATCTATCTATCTATCTAATTCTAATCACATCTATCTCCCAATCTAATTCTAATCACATCTATATACTAATCTAATTCTAATCATATCTATCTATCTATCTATCTATCTATCTATCTATCTATCTATCTATCTATCTATCTATCTTTTTACAGTAAGGTTCAGCCTGTACAAGGCTTGGGGACCCCGCGAAGTAGAGATTTACGTTAGGAGGAGGCAGTTTGTATGGATAGGTGAGGAAGGTAGCGGTTAACCCTAGCTTTGAACAATTTAGGATTGTAATGATCGGGAAAACATCCTCTTTGGTGTTGGTTCCACAGAGCTGTGGTTTGCTGGAAGAAGCTGTTCGAGTAGAACTTACTTCTCACCGAGGGAATGTGGGTGGCTTGCTATTAGAATGTGGGTGATATGTCAGGTCCTGGCCCTGAAGGTGCTAACTGGCGGAACCAAGGAATGTAGTTCGTCCGAGCACATTCCGATAGAGCCGTGAGATGCTTGCCACGTCCCGCCTGTGAGAGAGAGAGAGTTTGGAGGGTGGAATCTATCGAGACTGGAAAATGAGGACTGGGAAGATCCTGCCCAAATACTCCATTTTGGGTCTGACCTTGCTCTTGTAAAGGTAGAAGATAGCAAGACAAGTCAGGTACTTACTAGGGAACCGACCATTTTTCCTGCATCATTAGCAATGGATTGTATGTACGAGTTCCACTTGATGTCAAGGGTGGGTTTAAGGCCCAAGAGACTCTCAAGGCACAGAACCTTCCCAAGGGGACATCCATTCTTTGGGATTGGTGGTAGTTCAGTGTTTGATTAGCGATGATGTAATGTAACTAGCCAGTAATTTGATTTTAACTTAACTATCTTCTCATTCGGCGCCATTTTGGACTAACGTTTTCCACTAAAATGAAGTAGCAAGATTGTATTGTTTGCTAGGTCTGCTACTAGAAAAATTTGGTTCGCGGTATCGTGTTAGGCAATTTTTCTCGCCAAAAACTGTTTTATGTAGAAGTTTACCTTTCATCCATGCATTGAACGCGACTCTGTTTCGGACTGCCTCTGACTCGACTCTTGACTCGATTTGAACTGACGATATTTAGTCACCCCATCCCACGAGGGCGTCATGTGACAAAAGGCCTTTTTAACGTGGGCTCTCCGAGCCCGTGGGCTCGGCCAAAAATATGCCCATTGAACCCGTATAAACTGGTTCAGGGTCGGTTTACCTCCCCGAAAGAGAATCCAGCCTTCGGCGTAGCCTCTTTCGGGTTCCTCCCTGCCCGAAGGCAGAGAGTTCAACAGAACAGTCGGTTCAGAAGTAAACTACTGACTGACAATATTCAGTCCCCCCACCCCCACTGGGGCAACACGTGACACAAAGTCGGTTGTTTATTGTGGGTTTTCCGAGCCCGTGGGCTCGGCCCAAAAATATACCCGTTTGAACCTGCCTAAACGGGTTCAGGGCCGATTTACCTCCCGAAAGAGACTCCGCCCTTCGGCGTAGCCTCCTTCGGGTTCCTCTCCGTCCGTAGACAGAGAGGTGAACCGAAAAGTCTGTAGTGAACTACTGACTAACGATATTCAGTCACCCCCCCACGTGGGTGTCATGTGGCACAATGCGTTTTTAACGTGGGCATTCCCGAACCATTAGGCTCGGCCAAAAAATAGCCTATTGAACTCGTATAAACGGGTTCAGGGCCGGTTTTACATCCCCGAAGGAGACACCGCCCTTCGGTGTAGCCTCCTTCGGGTTCCTCTCCGTCCGTAGACAGAGAGTTGAACCGAACAGTCTGTAGTGAACTACTGACTGACAGTATTCAGTCTCCCCGCCCCCACCCCCTAGGCCAACATATGACACAAGGTCGGTTATTTATTGTGGGTTTTCCGAACACGTGGGCTCGGCCCAAAAATATGCCCGTTTTAGGGCCAGTTTTACCCCCCCGGAGGAGACTCCGCCTTTCGGCGGAGCCTCTTTCGGGTTCCTCCCGCCCGGAGGAAGAATGTTCAAACCGAGCAGTCGGTTCAAAAGTGAACTACGGACTGACAATATTCAGTCACCCCCCCACGAGGGTGTCATGTGGCACAAGGCCTTTTTAACGTGGGCATTCGCGAGCCATTAGGCGCGGCCAAAAAAATAGCCCATTTGAACCCGTATAAACGGGTTCTGGGCCGAGTTTACCTCCCCGAAGGAGACCCCGCCCTTCGGGGTAGCCTCCTTCGGGTTCCTCCCGCCCGTAGGAAGAGAGTTTAACTGAACAGTCGCTCAGAAAGTGAACTGCTGACTGACGATATTCAGTCACTCCCCACGAGTGTGTCATGTGGCACAAGGCCTTTTTAACGTGGGCATTCCCGAGCCATTAGGCTCGGCAAAAAAATAGCCCATTTGAACCCGTATAAACGAGTTCTGGGTCGGTTTTACCTCCCCGAAGGAGACTCCGCCCTTCGGCGGAGCCTCCTTCGGGTTCCTCCCGCCCGTAGGAAGAGAGTTAAACCGAACAGTCGGTTCAAAAGTGAACTACGGACTGACAATATTCAGTCACCACCCCCCACGAGGGTGTCATGTGGCACAAGGCCTTTTTAA